AATGGGCACAGTATGCACTGTGAGCCTGACACAGAAGCTGGTAGCAGTGGCAGACAACTGACTGCTATTCAATCTATAACAGTGAAAAAAGTTTTTTGTTTTTAAATCCAAGCTATTGTGACACCAGATGTAAGTGGTGGCACTGACTGGGGAAATGGGCACAGTATGCACTGTGAGCCTGATACAGAAGCTGGCAGCAGTGGCAGACAACTAAGTGCAATTACATTACATAGAAAAAAAAAAATTAAAAAAGCATACCCTTATCCCTAACCTAGCTATGCTTTTCCCTATCTTATGAACAGCAGCTACACTTTCCCTCCTCTTACTAAGCATGCAGCTTGAGAATGAATCTAAAATGGATGCCTTCCAGTAGGTGGGAGGGTCTGCTAGGGAGGCTGTGCTGCTAATTGGCTGGAATGTGTCTGCTGACCGTGAGGTACAGGGTCAAAGTTTACTCAATGATGACGAATAGGGGGCGGGTCGAACCGCGCATATGTTCGCCCGCCGTGGCGAACACGAACATGCTATGTTCGCCGGGAACCGTTCGCCAGCGAACCGTTCGGTACATCACTAGTCACAAGTGTGTATACATCATCAAAAAGTAACACATCGGCTGACACTATAAAAGGAGACTAATGAGATAGGTCCAAGTCATATATGAGGTCATAATGACCTTCAGAGAAACTGCTATGTTTATAAATGGGTTAATCCAGCCCTCAAATCCTCTAGTGGCTGTCTCATTGACAGCCGCTAGAGGCGCTTGCGTGATTCTCACTGTGAAAATCACAGTGAGAACACGCAAGCGTCCATAGGAAAGCATTGTAAATGCTTTCCTATGAGACCGGCTGAATGCGCGTGCAGCTCTTGCTGCGCGTGCGCATTCAGCCGAAAGGGAGGAGAGTAGGAGGATCGGAGGTGGAGAGCTCCCCGCCCGGCACTGGAGAAAGGTAAGTTTAACCCCTTTCCTCTCCCCAGAGCCTGGCGGGAGGGGGACCCTGAGGGTGGGGGCACCCTCAGGGCACTATAGTGCCAGGAAAACAAGTATGTTTTCTTGTCACTATAGTGGTCCTTTAAAGATGAGACAGATTTTTTGTACTTATTATTTTCTTTCAGATTTTGAAACAACTCAAGAGAAATGTTATAACTATATATGACACTTGCTCTGCAGCGGGAATACCTGAATGGGGAAATTTACACTCCTTTGTACATGTCTCTCAAGTTCCTTTTTAGAACAGTGGGCCTCTCATAAGTGGAGGATCATTGTGAAATTGAGAAATTTGTTGGATCGATGGTAACTTTTCTGTGGTCTGGAAAGATTGTTTGTAAATAATTATTTGCTTCCTTGACTAAAGGGAGGTCGAGGAGTCCCTACATACAAAGGGAAAAACAAAAAGGTATATAATAGTGAAATATTACAATATTTCATTATTATCTACTTTTTCCCCCTTTCTACGTATGAAATCAATTATGCCGCATAACCACTTGGGTAAGCTTTGACTCATTTACAAAATGGTTTTTTTTGCGCTGCACTATACACTGTTCTGTCTTGTTATAGGAGGGCAAATATCACCTAAATAAACCCTATAAAGCACATTGTGTTTGTTCAAAGCTTCCACTTGTATTGATATTTATGATGTCTTGTATCACTTTTTCTCCTAATAAAAAATAAATAAATAATGAGGTTATTAAATTATCATATGACATTCAACTTACATTCAGTCTAGCTTTGATGCAGGTTTTTTTTACACTGTCGTGAGCCCAAACCTACTAAATCTCAATTCTCTATGTTTCCCCAATCGAGGTTCTATGTTAAAATGGAAGATTATGCTAGCGTTAGTGTACTTATAATCTTAATTTTAGTAATGACAGGAAGCGAGTATTTTGCATTAAACTCTCTTTACTAACTCCACATAGCAGTAAAGAAAAGTGAAAATATTAACCAATCAAAATGCAATAGGAAGTATAATATTCACAGTGATGAGGCTCCTCCCCCTATTGCGAAAGCGACATCATGGATAAAGTTCCAAAAAGGTCCAAAGTCTTGTAACATGCACCAACGGGTGACTTTCCAATAAACTAAATTTTAATGGCTGAAGGAAGGTCCAAAGGTGTCCATCCTGAGAATGAACTGTAACACCCCGAATTTACACTGAAAGAGAACGTGAAATAGGTTAGGTACCGGTCTGGAAACTGTTTGAAGTAATGTTAATGTCCCAACACAATCTCACAGAGATGTCACACTATCGATTATCAACGACTGACTATAAACGACAAGTAATGTTAGAAATAAACATAATCCAAACATATCCACATATCTAGGAGGAGCAAGGAAGATAGAGGTAAGGAAGGAATACATTGAAGATAGGTATACTTACGTGAGTCCCTTCTCCCCAAGGGTGGGAAGGGTGGGAAAATACTCGCCTCCTGTCATTAGTAAAATTAAGATTATAAGTACACTAACACTAGCATAATATTCAATTTTACCACATGACAGGAGGCTTCCTATTTTGCATTTTTAACACCGATGCAGGAGAGACGTGGCTGCCCCCGGAAGTAAAAAGTCAGAAAGGTCGATTCTCCCGACCAGTCCGCGGAACGTAGGATGTCCGCCAGCGATGCACCCGCCGAGAAAGCCGAAGAAGCCGGCGCACCGCGAACAGAGTGGGCTTCGAAGACATCGTCCACTCCCGCCAGTGACAGAATCCATCTTAGAGTTGACCGGAAGAGGAGACCTGGAGCGGGGATCTGACCTCCACATACTGACGTAGAGTAGACACCACGCAAAGTTATGGATCGGTAGGGAAAAAGGGGTAGAAGACCGACGTGAAGTCCGATTTCGTACAACGCGATACTCGAAAGGTAACACCCTCTGGGGAGACCGAAAAGGCGGAGATGCCGAATGCCCGCACGTCTGATACCATGCGGAACAAGACTAGACAAAGCAGAAGCGTCAGTTTGGCTGAGACTGTCGGAGGGAGAGTCTGCCGTTATCAGGCCAGTCTCTCAAAAACTGTAAGACAACTTCGACGTCCCATAATCGGGAGTATTTGGGTCTCGGAGGTCTCTGTATTCGGATGCCCCTCAAGAGTTGGCATATCAGTGGGTCTTTCCCAACGGGTATCCACATGACCAGTACGTGGGCCACTGAAATCACAGAGCGCACCAGGAAGAGGACCAGGAATTCCAAGCTGTTAGGTCCAAAGGGTAACATCGTCTGGTTCTTGGTGCCCATGAATCCCATATGAGATCTCTAGCCGCTTGCAATAATTCGCTGGTCTGCCAGGCATCCCTGAAAGAGTCCAAGCCCCCAAGGCGAGACGGTCTTCCAGGATGAGGATTCCCTTTCGGATCCATGAGGAGTGTTGGATAAGATGGTATAAGGAGGGGATCCATGTAGGATGACGCTAGGAGATCCGGGAACCAGGGTTGGCCCGGCCATAGGGGAGCGATGAGGAGCAGAGACCCACGTTGAGTCTTTAAGTACTGAATCGTCCTCGCTATCATGACGAACGGGGGAAAAGCGTACGCTCCCATGGATGGCCATGGCTGGAGAAACGCATCCACCCCATGCTCTCCGGGTACAGGAGCCAGCTGAAGTATTCGGTTGTCTGTTTGTTGTTGCGTGACGCAAACAGGTCCAGGTGGAGGGGACCTCTCGTGTCCGAGAGGCAATGGAAGATCTGTGGGTCCAGTCTCCAGTCGCTGCTGTCCCGCCAGTGGCACGAGAACCAGTCTGCTGTCACGTTCGTCTCTCCCGGGAGATATTCTGCCATGAGGGAGATTTTGCAGGGCAGGCAAAAGTCGAAGATCTCCTTCGTAATCTCTGAGAGGAGTCAGGACCGTGCTCCTCCCAAGCGGTTGATGTAGCGGACCGCTGAGATGTTGTCCATCTGGAGGAGAATGCAGCAGTTTGTCCTGTTCCTCGCTAGGCTGCGGATCGCGAACGATCCCACCAGGAGTTCTAGACAGTTTATGTGAAGGTCGATTTCTAGAGAAGCCAGGCGCCTCCTGTCGATCTGCCCCAGAGGCTGGTGTCTGATTCCAGGACTATGTCGGGCATGTTCCCGAAGATGGCCCGGCCGTTCCAAGCCTCCATGCTGTCCAACCACCATCCAAGTTCTTCCTTGACCTCCTTCGTTACCAGAATGGTTTGGTCATAGGAAGGGTTCTGGCGAAGAAAGGAGGTCTTCAGGCATTGCATCGCTCTGCAGTGGAGTGGTATCGGGAAGATTGCCTGGATAGAAGCGGACAGAAGGCCCACTATCCGAGCCAGGTTGCGGAGTGGAATGGTACAGCAGCTAATGACTCTGCGTACTTCCTTTCTGATGGCTGCGATCTTTGATGTCGGTAGCCATAGTGTGCTGGACTTGG